CAAGGTTGAAATCAATATCCACAAAGCTAATAAAATAGAAATTTTTAATGCTTGTTTAATGTGAACGCTGTTCTGCAGAAACTGCATGGCCTCCTTAGGGTTAATTAGTTAGTCATGTCTGATCTTATTAGTTAACTTGTTTTATCAATGGTGTGAGCTTCAAACTACAATCGACAATATTTGTGTGCGCAAAAAAAGACATCCCAGCCTTGTTCACAGTTCAGCAGAAGCAAAGCTTCTCCTGGTACTCCTGTAAGGAAGGGATGCTGGTGTCATTTGAAGGTATCAGTCTGTGCCAGGGTACTACCATAGTGAAAAACAAATTTGTAAAACTTTTGGAGGTTTTGTTTTTGGAGACAGGGTTTCTCTATGTAGTTCTGGCTGCCTCAGAACTTGATCTGTAGACCAGCTGATCTCAAACCCAGAGATTCCTCTGCCTCTGCTTCCCAAGAGCAGGGATTAAAGGCATGAGCCACCATGACTGGGCTCGAGTTTGTAATTATTGTAAAGAAGCTCCAGGTCTTTGAGCAATTGTCCAGAGAGGCTGTGTAGTTTAGCGTCACAAGGAAAGCTACCCCTCCTCTCCTCCCCCCCCCTTTTTTTTTTTGACATTCGGCTCCAAGTCCAATTCTGTCACAAACTAAGCGTTAAAGGCTGGGGCAAGTTTCACAGCTCTGTGTCTGTTCCTGCCACCAATGCTGCATCTCACAGGCTCCTGTTGAAAGTGAGGTAGGATATTCGAACCTATCTACACCAAAGGGAAAACACCGTGGTCACAAAGGCAGAAGCAAACGGCTGGAGATTTGCATTCAAAGACTTTAAAGGTGGTAACCTTTTATCCGCAGTAGCATATTATGTGTTTCCGGATCCGCCCAGTCTTTGTTCTGTTTGATGCCTAACTTGCACAAAGTGCTGGCTGGTTCACAGGAAGCTGACTCAGTTGCTCTCTGCTGCCCTCTTGAGCACATAACTTGGGTTGCATGGGATGCTGCCTAGCCTGCAAATGAGGAAAAGCAGTGCAGGCCCAAGACAAATGCTTGTGGGCTCTTCAGCTGGACACCTAACAGTCTGTGTGAGTGCATGCGCATCTGCCTCTGCCAAGCGATTGAAGAGGGAATTGGCACTTCCCACGCTTGCCATCTGCCAGCCCCAGCCCCTTCAGGCCTGCACAAACTCATCATCTGGAAGGAAGCTTTTCTAACTCTCCCCTTTTTTTTAGGAGTAAAGTTTGCAACAGATCTTTGAACACACTTGAAACTCTGGCGTTAAATAATCAGTGTCTTATTGAATCAACGTGTTTTCTAGCTACAGCATTTAAAAGAAAGTAATTTCAACTGAGAGGCGTGGGTGAGAGGACCCAGCAGGGTTAGGGAAGACTACATTAGAACATCTGTTTTTGCACGATGTTTGATCCCATCCTTCTAAATTTCTAGTTTGCACGATGGCTTACAATATGCATAGGCTAGTATAGGCATATAATTTATAAATAAATGTGCATACGTCATGGAGGAATGCTAATTGTATTTCATTTAGTTGTTTTGCCGATGAGGGAACAATCATAAAACCTTAGGATGTATTCTAGAAGAATGTATTAGTCAGGGTTCTCTAGAGTAACAATTTATAGAATGAATCACTATATATATAGAAAGGGGATTCATTTGAACGATTTACAGGTTACACTCCAGCTAGTTCAACAATGACTGCCTATGGATGGAAGGCCCAAAAGTCTAGTAGTCATTTAGTCCATGAGGCTGGGTGTCTCAGCCAGTCTTCAGTATATACTCAAATCCCAAAGTAGGCTCTAATGCCAGTGAAAGAATGAGGTCAGAGCAAGCAGCCAAAGAGCAAAGCGTTTCCTTCTTTATGCAGTCTGCCAGCAGAAGGTGTGGCCCAGATTAAAGGTGGATCTTCCCAACTCAAAGATCCGGATTAGAAGTGGGTCTTCTGGCTGGGCATTGGTGACACACGCCTTTAATGCCAGCACTCAGGAGGCAGAGGCAGGTGGATCTCTGTGAGTTCCAGGCCAGCCTGGTCTACTGAACAAGTTCCAGGACAGCCTCCAAAACAATACAGAGAAACCCTGTCTCGAAAAAAAACAAAACAACAACAACAAAAACAAACAAACAAACAAACAAAAAACCCAGGCTGGAGAAATGGTTCAGAGGTTAAGAGCACAGGCTGCTCTTCCAGAAGTCCTGAGTTCAATTCCCAGCAACCACATGGTGGCGCACAACCATCTATAATGAGATCTGGTTCCCTCTTCTGGTGTGCAGGGATACATTCTGGCAGAATACTGTATATATAAAAAATAAATAAATCACAGGTGTGTCCTGCCATTTGGATTTTAGTTAATTCCAGACGTAGTCACATTGCCAGTCAGGAATGGATATCACAAGTCTATCCCTTCCTTGTCAGATCGACACACGATCTTATCTCCTAATGTCATGCTTAGTTTCCAAATGAAAACCATAACCATATTATACACCTTACACGATATAACAACCATATATACTCACAAACACATTATATACTGACAAGGTTGCGTTTACGTCTTTCTCCATCTCTCACTTTCCCCTGCCATCTCTTCCTTCTTTCCCTCCTTGACAAGCAAGGTCTTCCAGCTGTGTCACCCCAGCTGGCTCTCAAACTTGTGATTCTCCTGACAGACAGACTTAGAGAATAGTTCTCATGTGACCCAACATGAAATCATTACATTATGAGGTGGTTATTGGGTTTTGTTTTGCTGTTGCTGGTTTGTTTTGTTTTGTTTTTTTCGTAATTTGATTGTGTGGTTCTTGGATAGGAACTTTGTAGACACCATCATGTTGCCCTGCCGACAGCTTAGACCTGGCAGGTAAAGACACCTGTCACAAAAACCTAGAGGCCTAAGTTAGAGCCCTGGAACTCAAGTGGAAATGGAAGGAAAAGACCAACTCTACAAAGTTGTTCTCCTACTCCCACATGCTTGCACACACACACTCACACACAGAGTTACACACATGCAGACACATGCTTACACATACACACACACAACACACACACACACACACACACACACACACACACACACACACAAAGGTTGGACAGCCCTGACTATATTATTGTTTTATAAATTCATGAGCTTAATCTCTATGCAGTTGCTCCCTACCTTTAGGAAGCAGATGCTGGGGTTGGTGTAGCACTATCAAACACATGTTCCCTGTGATCAATTACACTCTGTACCGAAAGCTTTCTTCTGTGCATCAGATAATATGCTTGGGACAAAGTGTCAACAGTGAGATGTCAAAACCCTATGGGAGTCTCTGTAAGCCACAGCATCTGTAGCAAGGATAAATTACCCTCAGTTCTAGGAGGGGAGGCCCCAGCTTAGGGAGCAAGGACTCATAGGTCTGTGATCTGACCCAGTGAGACTTAACTGCAGTTTGAGCTGTGGAATCTCTTATTGTGGTCATCTGCATTTCTACCACTAATGACTGTGCCACTAGGGGTCTCTAAGTCTTCAGCAGTGTGGGGAGCACACACACTGGGGGCAGAGCTGCTAATGTCTAAGCCCTGGTGAACGACAGCAGGCAAAGCATTAATTTTACATTTGCTATAGTTCAGATTTGATATGGCAGAGAACTAGGGAAGAGTTCTATGACTGCATGGTACTTCTTTTCTCTTCCAGGAACATGTGCTACATATACACAAGAGCAAAGAAAGCCAGGCCAGGACTCACGAGGTCCTATACCTGCATGGCCAGGGTCCTGGGGAAGGCTGAGTCATGCACAGCTTTAGGAGGCTGACCCAGGGGCATCTCAGGGTCAGGTGAGCATGACTGTCCACAGAAAGTGGTGTAGCTGCAACTCAGTGACCTGAGACCTCTTTCTCTTCTCAGTGAACCAGTTCTCCCAGGTGGACAAGGCTCTGTCTCAGTGGCTGATTGGCCCAGGAACACCTTACATGCTCCTGGGACCATGGTCAGCATCTTGTCTTGACATAGAACTGCTATTCTCAAGGTCTGCTCTCATCACATGTGTCCATCCCTAATCTAGCCATGTGGAGTCAGTTCTGCAGATCTGGTGTAGAATTCTGGAGAACTTATTTCCTTCCATAGGCTAGGTTTTTGGAAACCATGTCATTACAGAAGTATCTCCCACTAGCTAGAGACTGGAAGACAAGTTTGAAGCCACCAACACCTGAGGAGTCACTTCACCTCAGTGGGTCCTGTGTTGTGAAATATTAGTTTAAAATGTGTTACATTTGTTTATGCTGTGGAATATTTGTTTAATGATGCAAAGATGTGCTGCATTCTTTTTTGTTGCATTTGTTTGACTCTGTGAAGCTGTGTTACTTTGCCTGCCTAAAACTCCTGGTTGGTCTAGTGAAGAGTTAAACAGTCAATAGCTAGGCAGGAAAGGAATAGGAGGGGCTGGCAGACAGAGAGAATAAATAGGAGGAGAAATCTAGGTTTGAGAGGAGAAAAGGAAGATCCAGAAGAGGAGAAGGATGCCAAGGGCTAGCCAACAGCCACATGGTCAACCACAGAGTAAGAAGGGAAGAAAGATATATAAAATAAAGGAAGGTAAAAAGCCCAGAGGCAAAATATAGTTAAACAGAAATGGCATAATTTAAGTTAGAAAATCTGGCTAGAAACAAGACAAGCTAAGGCTAGGTATTCACAAGTAAGAATAAGTCTCCATGTATTTATTTGGGAGCTGGATTGTGGGCCCCGAAGAGTTAAAAAACAACAGCTACAGTCCTGTTCCTTTAAGTTCCTAGCCACTTCATCATCATTTCTGCCCAGAGAGGCCTTAATTCACCATGTCACTGGCTTCCCAGAGGGTGGGAAAGGAAGCCACACACAGGAAAAACACCACTGTCACTATGGTTAAAACACACCTGGCATTTCTATACTGAGAAAGTCTTGGATGACACTCAACAGGCGACCACTATCTCACAGGGGCCTCTACTCTGTAATGACTTGGTCTCTTTCATATCTCTGTGTGTTACTGTGACAGGTCACAGCTGCCTTCCCACCAGAAAATGTCTTGTGACTTCCTGTGTGGCATTTCTTGTACTCGGAGCTGTTATCACAGTGATTGCTGTTGGGATCACCTTCGGGAAGCCTGCAAGTATGTGTCACCACACACATGCATTTACATTGCATATGTTCCAAAGAGGGTGAGCCTACTGATGGGGAGTGGTCGGCATGTGGTATGTGCCAGTCATCAGCCATTTTGTACATCTTCTTGCTGTCCTCAACTCCGGCAATAGACCTGTTATGGGCAGTTATGATGGACACTCAGGGAGAGGAGACAACTTGCCCTGGATCATGTAACTATGAAGTAAACAAGCCAGCGTTCTGACTCAGGTCAGCCCAATTCTGAAGTATACACAGGATATGGTCTCTACCTTCAAGGAATTTCCACTGTAAACAGGGCAGCGGGTGGTGGAATAGTGTGTAATTAGAAATTAGAGAGAAATCAGCAAGGACTAGTGATGAAGGCCTGGGTATGAAAGAATTGAAATGGAGCTGAGCCTTGTGGGGACCCCTGAGTTGAGACTGTTTCAGGGGCATAGATGTCACAGACTTTGTCCTGCATCAAACCTGAGGTTATTGAGGAAGAGATATGAAAGATGACACTAAGAATCCAGGTCAGGTGTGGGGGGGGAGCAGGGGAGTCACAAGTTCCAGTCAACCTGGACGACATAGCAAGACTATCTCAAAACCAAGCAAAAACAAAAACCAAAACAAACAAAAAAGTGGCCTTAGTGGATGAGGGCACACTTGCTGCCAAGGCTGATGACCTGAGCTCAGTCATGAAGTCCCACATGACAAAAGGAGCAAATCAACTCCTGCAGATGGTTCTTAGGCCTCCACGTGAGCACTGTGGCTGGCTTGTGCACACATGCACATAAATAAATAAAGGTAAAAGAATTCAAAGCAAAACCTCGTAGTGAGAAAGAAATAGTGTTAACTAAAGAGTAAAATGTGGTCCAGCATCACACACACACACACACACACACACACACACACACACACACACACACATAACCTAGTTCCCTCTCCCACCTTCCCTCTGCTGTGATGTGCTTTTCTTCCATTGCTCATTTGGTTAACTCCTTAAGACCAAACTCAGACGTCCCAGGATCTCTTTACTGGACAGTTCCAAACACTAGACTCTGAACCCACCACCCTGCTTTCCCAAACAGCCTAGTTAAGGTCAGCACTGTAGAGTCACGGGAGCCAGCCCATGCTGTAGGATGTGTGTTTCAGTGAGGAACTCTTTGCACACAGGCCTTCATTAACCCTGTCCTGCCACGGGCATTAGACTTACATCAGGGTTGAAAGTTCCCTGCCTGTGCTTGACTCCACCCTTCTCCTTCAAATGTATTGCCCCAGCTACTAACTTCCCACCACAGAGCCACATCTCATCCCATCCTGGTAGCAATATTTCAGAAGGACCAAACTGATAACAATTCCTTCAGATGACCAGAACTGAGGATTCTTGTTTCTGAAACCACAATGCCAGCACTGATTGGATCTGTTTTTAATCTGCCTCTTAATTGTTCAAGTTGAAAATGCACCCTCATCAAGTGAACTCGAAAACAAGTACCTCAGAGATCCCCCCACTGTGTACCTCTTTTCACAGCCAAAAGGTATTGTGGGGGCAAGACACAACTATGCTGAGATACAAGTGTTGTGGAATATTATTTTAGCTGGGCAAAGATGTCACATTTCTTTATGCTACAGAATACTACTTTAACTGTGTAAAAGTGTGTTACATTTGTTTGTGCTGCATTTGTTTAATTATGTAGCAAAGTGTTGCATTTGTTTCACCTTGCCTGCCTGAGACACCTGATCAGTCTAATAAAGAGCTGACTGGCCAATAGCTAGGCTGAGAAAAGGAATAAATGGAAGGAGAAGTCTAGGCTTGAGAGAATAGAAGGAAAGAGGAAAGAGAACAGGGAGAAAAAGATGGAAAAGCCTGGGGCAGAAGCCAGGCAGCTGCCAGAAAGACACAAAGACAGCAGGAAGGTATGATATAGAGAATGAAAGGTACAAAATCCCCACGGCAAAAAGTAGATAAAGAGAAACAGGTTGGCTTAAGTTAAAAGAGCTAGGCAGAAACAAGCCTGAGCTAGGCCTAGCATTCATAACTAATAAGCCTGATACACACCAGCATTTTTATAACTTAACTTCCATCAGTTTATTTTTTTCCATAGCACTTAAAATGTTTTAAAAAAGACCTTTCCCTTTCAAATAAGTAGACTCCGTTATATTTTAAAATATTATCATGTAGGGGCTGAGGGTGTAGCTCAGTGGTAAAGTACTTGCCTAGAATATAGAAGTCCTAGGTTTTATGCCAGTTCTACAAACATGAGGCCTGGTGACACAAACTTGTGTTCACAGTACTCCAGAGGCAGAGACTAGAGGATCACGCTCAAGGTGAGTGATTCGAAGATCAGTCTGAACTAAGACATGTTGTCTCAACATCATCGGTCACCATGATCATCTTAATCAGAGGCTAGGTTGTAACTTGCTGGTAGAGCACTTGCCCAGCATGTGTAAGAACCTAAGTTCAATCTCCAGGACCTCCAAAAAAGTCTTAATTTTACTCACAATATGACCATGAGGTTGACATAGCAGGTTACCTTTGTTCTTGTCTCAACTAAGAAAATGATAGACAGGACTGCAATCCATTACAGAGCTCACACCAGGGACCAGGCCTGTTGACCCCTCGTCCAGGGACCAGGCCTGTTGACCCCTCGTCTGCCGGCCATTACCTCTTGCTGGGAGTGAGTCTGCACTTGCTTGCCAGATGCAATGGTTCCGAGAGAAAAGGAAGAACCATGAAGTTAAGAAGGCCTGTCCCTGGAGAGTTCTGGAGTGCGGGTGGGAAAGAAAGGAGAAGAGATAAGGGGACGGTGGCACGAGGGGGTGAGCGTAGGACATCGGCATTCTTGCATCTTTCAGATCGGATGTCTCACCAATGCAGAGCAGCCTCACAGCAACCAGGCTTCCTGTGTGAGGACCACACCACTTGCTTGCTGCCCTCTCTGCTTTGTGATGGCAAGATGGACTGTGGCGATGGTGGAGATGAATCTGCTACCTACTGTGGTGAGGTGGATTGAAGTTGGTTGTTCTTAGTCTCTTACTCTTACTCTTTGGGGACCTGCCGCCCAGCTCCCAAAGAAATACACAGAGGCTTATTGTTTCTTATGAATGCTCTGCCTTAGCTTGGCTTATTTCTAGTCAGCTTTTCTTCAATTATCCCATCTATATTTTGCCTCTTGGCTTTTACCTTTCTCTAGTCTATATACCTATTTTTACTTTTTACTCCATGACTTGCTGTGTAGCTGGGTGGCTGGCCCCTGCTGCCCTTTCTCCTTCTTCTTTCCTCATCACCTGATCTCTCTCCTCAGATGTCTCCTCCCATTTATTCTCTCTGCCTGCCAGTCCTGCCTATTTCTCTCTCCTGTTTAGCTATTGACCATTCTGCTCTTTATTAAACAAATCGGGTATTTTAGGTAGGCACAGTAACACAGCTTCACAGAGTTAAACAAACGTAACCTAAAAGAATGCAACACACCTTTTCATCATTAAACAAATATTCCATAGCTTAAACAAATAGAACCATTAAGTTAAGAAGGCCTATGCTGCCAGACGGTGGTGGCACACATCTTTAATCCCAGCACTTGGGAAGCAGAGGCAGGTGGATCTTTGTGAATTTGAGGCCAGCCTGGTCTACAGAGTGAGATCCTGGACAAGGGGGTTGGGGGAGGCCTACGCCTGGAGAATTTCGGAGTGTGGGTAGGAAAGAAAAAAGGAGAAGATAACGGGGACGGTAGCACAAACCGGATGAGGGTAGGACATCTGGCGTTCTTGCAGCTTTCAGATCAGATGTATCAGCTAGGTCTATATAGTAAGACCCTGTCTTTAAAGCAGTAGTGGTAGTAGTAGTAAGATAAAATTCAGAACTACCATTTAAACATTTTCATGAATAATTTTTCCATTAAAAATAATTTACTTGTACAATATAGGTCAAATGCCCAACAGTCTCCCACCAAACTTGATTTTCAAGTGTCCCAACCAGAAGACATGGATATATGTGGACAGGGTCTGTGACACAAGGAATGACTGTGGTGACTGCTCAGATGAGTCAGGTAAAAATGAAAATTCCATAGTTGATCTTTTTAATGGGTTCTGGGAGTGGCTGCCCTTACACTTCAATTACATAAATTAGCTCTAACTTAGAAACCTTCTAAAGGGGATTTCTCATACACAGACTAAGAAATTCCATCATTCCCTGGGCTGCAGGGAACTCCAAGCTAGAGAGCAGGCTTAGGCTGGGGTCCTGGCTTCCATTCCTAGCCCCATCACCAAAAACAAATAGGAAGGAGGGAGAAAGGGAGAGAAGCAAGGAAGATAGGAGGAGCAAACAGAGGGAAGGAGGAAGAGGGAGGGAACTACATTATCTCATGTCTATTTAAAGTAGACGAAATCTCCAGCAAGGAAGTTAACAAAGTCAGGTTTGCCAGAAAATGTTCTTAATAGAAGGCTCTCGTCTACTATAAGCTTTCATTTGGGTTTCTCTGGCAATTCTGAAAGATCTACAAAATTTTGTTCAGTGCTTTAGCTCTCAGAAAACTAGTAGCTAACCTGGTCTTTTCTTCCTCACTTCCATCCTTGACCCCCATCATGGGTTAACACTGAGCTACAACAATTCCCACTTCTCAAGCAGGCAAGACCCCAGCCAGGACACAATTCCGGTGCATGACATCTCCAAATGGTATACTGGAAAGCTGCATCAGAAACACACAGATCAGCTCTTTGCCGGTGGTGTGGGGCAGAATGAAAATGCACCCTTGCAGTTAGGAAGAGGTCTGAGTCTGTAACAAAGGCATGGCAGTGTGAAGAGGGCCTTTGTTTCTGAGCAAAGGCCTGGTTCCCCTGCTGACTGACTGCCCCAACTCCAGGGAACCCTTCCCTGTTTACTCGTCAACCATGTCAGTATGTTTGGTTTTGGGCTGATGGGTAGAGGCAGTTCCGTCTCTGGCTTTTCAAACTATGTGTAGAATCTCCAATAATCATCTGCAGTTTTCCCATGAGATAGTTTCACTGATTTTTTTGTTTTTAAACATGAAGGGCTATTTCTTGTCCAATAGTTGACATTTTAAGTTATGCTTTTAAAAATAAATACAATTGTCTAGTTTCACAGTGCCCATCGTGCTCAGGCTGGAGATGCGATACTGTTTTCTTCGCTGACTGTGCCTGCATTCCTAAAAGTCGCTGCAGAAACGGCATCCAAGACTGTGCTGACTGGAGTGATGAAAACCTGTGTGATTAGGTTTATAATAGGGGTTTCAGAAAAGCTGAAAAGTTTTTTTTTTGTTTGTTTTTTGTTTTTTTTGCCTTACGACTTCCCTCAAAGTATTGGCATGTCTGTCTTCCGTGTCTACCTTCCTGGAATGTAGGGTAAGGAAGAACCTGTGTCCCCTGTTAACAAAGGAAACAGGCAGAAATCAGATGCAACTATAGATCCCTGTTGTAAATTTGTTTGCAAATAGCCACAGGGTTATGTGGGAAGCACACAAATGTACCCTTTATCTCAACCAGTATGAAGACCTTTACCCTAAGAACTTTTGGAGATGCCTAGCTCCCTGGTCTCAAATTTAGCGGAAAATTAAGTTTTGAAATTTTATTTTTAAATTAGCATATCAAGTATTAAAAATCATGCATTTTTCAGCCCAGTGGTGATGGTGCACACCTTTAATCCCAGCACTCGGGAGGTAGAGGCAGGTGGATCTCTGTGAGTTCGAGACCAAGCCCGGTCTACCGAGCAAGTTCCAGGACAGCCTCCAAAACAATACAGAGAAACCCTGTCTCGGGGGGGGGAATCATGCATTTTTCAAAGTGTTTTAGTAGCTGGCCTCCACGCTCTTTGTAACTTCCCCTGTAGTCTCCTTTGTGTCCCCACCTTCCTCTTCCTCATCTCTTTACCCTCTCGGTCTCTTTTCTAGTTTTTGAGGCTTCGTTAATCCTTATTTCTATGTTCAGGTATGTATTACAAGCTAGAATCTGCATACTAGAGAATGTAGTTTTGTCTGAGTTTGGGACCCATTTTCTTGGAATTTTTATCTTTTTTCACAGTGGAATAAAATTCCATCGAGCATCTATACCACAATTTTCATTATACATCTTATCATGATTATCCAGGCTGGTTTCATTTCCATGTTACTGGGAACACAGCAGTAATGAGTCTGAATGTACAAGTATCTTGGTAGTAGGATACACAATTCTGAGTACACATAGGCAGGAATAGCATAGCTGGGTCACTCACATGGTAGTTATTTTGGGGTAAACACCCTTACTGATTTCCATAATGGCTGTCATCATTGGCACTCCCAGCAGTATAATTAAGGGTTCCTCTTTCCTACATCCTTGCCAGCATTTGATGTCAGGTTTCTTGAAGGTGGCTGTTCTGACTAGTTGAGGAGCTACCTCTAAGTAGTTCAATTTACATTTCCCTGATGGCTAGGACGTAAATCAGCCTTAACCAACAGTCAAGAAATCATCAGCAGACCAAGTCTTCTTTAACCTTCGAGAGCCTAAAATTCCTCCCAGTAGGCAGTGACTTGGGTTTGAATCTCACTCAGACAAGTAATTTCACCTCTTACAGATATTTTCATCTGTTCATGGCCTTCCTTCAGGATTTTAAGTTAGGAAAACAAGTGATTGTGCTGTCCTTCAGCAGTAGTAGCAGAAACTACAAAGAAAAACTGCAAGGATATGGTAGACTGTGCTACTGTTACTAACACCAGCTACTCTAAATATGAGAAACAGTCTCTCCACAACCCCATGGCCACTCCAGTGACAGGGCTGTCCTCTGGCTGATGTAATCTGTGGTAATTATGTGCATCACTTCCTAGCCTGTTTGAGGAGCCAGCTGGTGACGGGCCATCTTTTCTATAACAAGCCTGGCAAGGTTCTAATTAAATGTTGTTCCTGCAATAAAGTAGAGCAGAAGCAAACAAGGAATCAAATGTGATGAGCCTTTGGAGCACTTTCCTGATAAGAGAGATTATGAAGGAAAATGTTTCCTTATTAATCCACAGCTACCAACACTATCACTCAATGAAAACCAGCAAAAACACTCGTAGAGACTGAGGAATCAACTATGGTTAGTGACAGACCCAGCTGGGAAGCCTTCCTATAAACCTAAATCACAGCCATCTCTACGAACTGCAGGAATGTCACTGTCACCTTAAGAGTTGACATCCTGGGCCAAACTAAGAATGTTTCTAACTTGGCTACCCAGAAATGCCAACTTCTAGCTCCCACTCACAACATTCCAGCTCAGTCATTCCATTTGCTTGGATTCTAAAAATGAGTTTTCCCAGGTAACAGATTTATCCTATTTCCTATGCCAGAGTCAGGGAGTGTCCCATCTTTAGGCAAGTTGTGCTTACAACCAACCTGACCCACAAATCCACTAGGATTTTTAGCTGCTGAGACCTATAGCATAATTCTGCAATTCTTCCAACTTCACATTTGACACAACTAACTCTGCATAGTAACCCTGGAATGCAGCTGTACAGCACCTTAAAAGGTGGGGGGAACCGATTATGGTGGCAGTTAGTGTTAACATGGAGCCTTGGAAATTAGTAACTGAAAGTATCAGGTTATATATACAAAATGGAGGTACTAGTTCATACCTCATAAAGTTAGAATACAAGGTTAAAACTGAGATACAGAGCTGGAGAGATGACTCAGCAGTTAAGAGCACTTACTGTTCTCCCAGAGAACACAGGTTCCATTTCCGATACATAACACACATGGAGGCTCACCTAAGTCCAGTTCCGGGGATCCTATACCCTCTTCTGACTACTGCAGGTGCCAGGCATGTACCTGGTACACAACAATCTTTTAAAGAGATGCATAAAGATACTATACGCTTACAATAAACAATACCAAGAGAAAAAGCACCTTGGTTTACCCACAGAATACTGCTCTCATAACACATCCACCACAGAGAGTATGGAAGCCCCAAGGGATGGCGGAGAAGCAGTCTCTCCCAACACACGTTCATATCACCAAATGCTATCATTACCACACACCATGATCAACTTTCTATAAACTGCTTACTGTGAATAGATGAGTGTCAAATAAACAACAAGTCATATACTAGGCAAAGAATTTTATTAACCCCTTTCCAAACTTTATTCCCAGGCTTCTTCAGCTTAATTTGCTGCAAAGAATGAATTGTGTTTAAGCAAAAACTGAAAAGAGCTGCAGTGTCCAGGGGGCTTGGGCTTAAAAATATTAGAGATCTAGATTTTATCAGATCCATAAACAAAAGAATTTTAAAAAGCAGTCATGATACAAAATAGCAGCTCCTGTGACTTCTGCAAGTGTCACCTTCTTTAGAAGTCGCCTCGATTCAGTTTGCCTCGTTCTTAGAAGCCTCATCAAAATTCTCCACCAGATCTAGAAAAGAAAACAGTAGACATCCTGAAGAAAATCCAATTCTACAAAACTTAAGGTTACTTATGGAAACAATCTCAAATTTAAACACTTGTCATCTCCAATGAGACTACTTTGGCACAGTAAGTGTGGTCGGTATGGCATAGCTACTGGAGTGAACATCATGCTTAAAAAAATCTGTTTATCCCTCATCCTCAATTTAAGAACTAAATAGAATACACTGATCGATATAACAGAACTAAAGACTACACCACGACATGATGTGAATCTTTCTTGGATTTCAGGGACATCTGTTGAAACTAGAAAATACATGCATTTTTTTTATTCTTCCACAGGATATAAACGCAATGTAATTTAGTTAGACATGGTGTCATTTGTCTGTAATCCCAGAGGTTGAATCAGAAGGTTCTCAAATTTGAGCTACATATTGGAAACAATGTTTCAAGTAAACTATAAAAAAAGAAAAAGGAAAAAGAAAAACATTGCTAACCAAGTTACTAAGCTTTAGAATATCACACCAAGATATTTAAACCTCTCCACACCATTTCATAAACTAGTGTTTCAAAGTATCATCAGTCCCTAAGTGAGGTTCCTGTCCCTGTTCCCTCACATTCTCTGGCTTTAACTTATTACCACCATCACCACCCTGGAACCTTTTCTATAAAAGATTCATTTCTCTCCCTTGCCAAAGTGATTCTTACCTGGGACTTCATCATCATCATCCTCTCCAGTAGCAAGTGGTGCTTTTCCATCCACAGCTGAGAAAGAAAAATGAAAATGTAACCAACCCATTTCTCTAGATCAATAAACATCAACCATGGGAACATATGAGACACCGAGTCACAACTCACATCTGTGATGGAAGTGACATTTGAGTTTTCACCTATAGTCCCATTGAAACGCAGGTAACAGGAACTCTGAACACATGAGAACAGTGAGGGCAGGGAGCGCTCAGAGTATAGATTAAAACCACACACCAAATTATGGTCAGGCTTATTTTGGGAGGCAAATCAAGAGGCCAGGCATTTCCCTAAATATTCTGTGCATGGCACAAAGCCCAGTGAATACTGAAACAAAAAATTAAGCCAAATGTGGTGACTCTTACTATCAACCACTGAACTTCGAATGCAAAGGCAAGACTATAGCAAACTCCAGGCCGGTCAGGGCTACACGGGAAGGCCTATCTCAAAAGCCAAGAAGGGGAAGAACAAACAAAAAGACCAAATTTAAAGTACCTTTCAACTGTTACATAACCACTGTTCCTCTTTTCATTCCTGAGGTATTAGGAACTGAACTCAGGACCGTGAATATGCTAGCAAGAATTCTGCCACTGAGCTTCAGCCTATTTTTAATAAATACATTTTAAAGACAGTTTAATTTGCCCAATCTTTCAACACATAAAACTTTCCAACTTGTAATGCTCTTATTTTAGCCTCCCCAGTGGCCAGCATTGCAGTCACGGGCCATCATACCTAGACCACTTTCATCAAACAGAAAGGAGAGTTCTGAGAGTGAACAATCCTAACCCACACAGCCATCAGTGGAAGTTTCAAAAGCTGGTCAAAGATCAAGATGACCTAAAACATCTTGCTGTTCCTCCCTTAACAATAAAAGCATAAAATGAGTCAGCATCTAACAAAACAGCTAAGGAAATGGCAAGCCATAGAGTAAACCTCTTGCTTCGGCATTCATATTCTTAAATTTTTAAGACAACACATCAAACATAAAGTTATCACACCACCTATGATGACTAATCTTGGTTAATTTAACATCTGGGAGAAGAAGGACCTCCATCAGACTAGCCTAGTGACATGTATGTGGGGCATTTTCTTTATTGCTAATTGATGTAGGAGGGATCAGCCCACTGCAGGCTGGTGCCATCCCTGGGAAGGTTGGCCTGGAATAAGAAAGGCTGTCCAGGGTCAAATGGTCAGCCCTGAAAACATACATATAAGTAACAAACACACCAAACAGGTTATATTTAGGAATGTGTAGGTATACACATACCCATACAATAACAATTAGTGAAAAAAGGTTATGAATTTAAAAGAGAACAAGGAAGGTTACATGGTAGGGTCTGGGGTGTGTGTGTGTGTGTAATTATAATCTCAAAAAATAAAAGGCAGTTGATTGTGAGCCTGGGAGTGAGCCAATAAGCAACATCCCTCCTTGGGTTTTGCCTCAAGCTCCTGCCTTGCCTTCCTTTGATGAACTGTAAAGTGCAACAAAATAAAAACAAACCCCTTTCTCAAGTTGCTTTTGGTCATGGCATTTATTACAACAAAAATCAAAGAGAACACTACTTGTACATGTACAGTCTGCCCTAAACAAAAACTATAATTTGAAACACCAAAATATTGGCATCTATCTACATCAGCAATAATTTATTATGTGTTTATAAATAACTAAGAGCCCCAAAAGTCACCACACATAAAGACTGTAAATAAGGAAATGGAATGTTAGTTTTATTCTTGTTTTTTTTTTTTTTCTGAGACAGCATGTTTGTAGCCCAGGCTGGTCTGGAATCCTGTAATTCTCCCTAGTTCAGTCTCTCAAAGTGTTACCAAGTGTGAGTCACCATGCCCAGCCTGTCACTTCTAACCCTAAGAACTAGCAAAACCACGATCAACAGTTTTTTTCTTTCATTTTTAACTAATTAGGGTAAATTTTCAGTTATTCAAACCTAGTAAGCTGGTAAAAACAAGCATCCACTTAATCAAGTATAATGATCACAGAAAAACAAGACATCACTATAAACAAGAATGAGTAAAAATAGTTAAAGTGTATTTTTTTTTTAGGCAAGTAAGTCAGCATTCTGTATCTAAGGACATTCTTAGCAATTCTGAGCCCAAAATCACAAAAATGTAACTCTGAGGATACTCACATTGTTTGGGCAGAGCTTCAGCCAGTCTCCTTAAACTAGTCAGACTGTCTGCCCCAAGCTGGTTTAGGATGCTGGGAAGCATTTCTGTCAGCTGCTTTGTCTCAGCGTGGCCTGTAATGGTGAAGGTGTTTGCTGCCAGTGACGCCTGAACTTTAGGGTTGTTAAAATGGATCACTGTTCCTTGGTTTGTAAACATGTTCACCTATAAGAAAATATAACTATTATAAGTAATGTTCAACGATTCCTTTAAAATCAATGTTTTCATAAAACTAAAATCTTGCCGAGTTTTCCCCTTTGAAACACAGGTGACAATTTCCCTAGAATGTGTAAGCAAATAACTTTCAGGCTTTCCAATCTCCCAGACACTCAAACATCTAATGGGGGCACAGACTATATTGGTAACAGCAGAGGCAAGACAATTACTTAATTAAGGATCATTAAAACTTCCCAGTCACGTCGTGCTTTGACACTCACCTCTTCAATACCAGAGATATTGTTCACCCCTAACTTCTTTAAGGAGAACTGCAGTTTTTTATCGTCTGCTGTGGCTGTCCTGTGAACCACCTTCTTCTTTCGGCGAGCAGTCCCCTGGTGGGAGAAGGGCAAGCAACACATTGACACAGCAGCAGTCTATCCCAATTCTTTTCAGACATTTGCTTCTGCACAAGGTAACTAACCAGACAACACGGTGGTGACCCAACACCTTTAGTCCCAGCACTCAAGAGGAGGCAGGGGCCTTAATACTCACAGATGGGATAGGAAACAAGTAACCAATGAATCTGCATACAGATGTCTACTACAGCAGAGTACAAAGCTAAAGTTCTTAACCCACAGAGATCTTTCCATCAAATAAGCCTCTTTGATGTTCCTTAAGGAGAACAGCATCTCTGAATGCTACCCCTCTTCCCTGTACTGCTCAGCTCCCTCCCTGGAGCACATTTCTTCTCCCCATGTAAGAGGCTCTTCTCTATACCACCCAACTGAGGACATCCACAAGCATCATTGTCTTTTCTAGTTTACTTTTCTTAAGTTATTCTTACTCATTTTCCAAAATGCTGTGCAAGCTATTATCCTATCTGTCTTCAAAGCCTCAACTCTGCACCCACTGCATGACATATTAAGCCACTTCCAACTGTATACTATGGAAAGACTTCTATGACACTAAGTACAACACCAGCAGGAAAAGATTAGATTCTACCACACATTTTACAAACCTACAATTCACTACACTTACTCAAAGAATTGTCAGCTTCTCCATTAGACACTGAAAGGGGCCCTGAATAATATTCACCTGAAAGAATGTAAATCTAACACTGCTTTTCTCACCCACACAGTAAGGGCTCTTAAAAGGTACAGAAAAGCGTTCCCATATTATGGCTCAAAACTAGATAAAACTAGATTAAATACTAGATACAAAGTCTACTGTATCAGATTAATGTGGAATTTTTCCCTAGAGATGCCCCTCAAAGTTAAAGCCTATCGGTTATAGAGGAACCACCCGGCATACAAGCACATCACTCCAGAATCTATACTCAAAGAAGCTGTCACCCCCCAAACCAGCATCCGAAGGTACTGTGTTAAGATAGATAGAAACATCCAATGTTAGTGTCATGAATGAAAACTGAAGATTACAATTGCCTGCAAAGGCAAACCAGGTGGAAGATAACTGCTGATCAAGTCAGCTAACTTGGAGCTGTGTCTTATTTAACCTATATGCAACTCCTGGTTATCTCACAGAAAACTCTCCTGAAGGTAAATGCTTAAAGTTAGGACAATTTAGTAGGTAATAAACTGGTACTATGGAAACTCCACAAGTTTTACCAAGTAAAGACATGCTCTGATTCAACCAGCTGACGCCACACCTTGTTAAATACTTGGAATGTGCTAACACAATACATGAAACTAGGGAGATCTCCATCTGGAACAGACTTCAGAGTAGCAAACCAAACACCAGGTTCAATATAGAATCTTCAGTAAGCTCAGTAACCACCAGGAGTAACCAATTAGCTACTTTCTCCCACTGTAGGATAATTACAAAGACAGAACAAAAACTCTTTAACACCAACTGTTCATGATTTCCAAAAATATCCTGCTGAGCATTTAGTTCAGAAAGCACTGCTGAAAGCTCTTAATTTACAAAAATAAAAGTATCTAAGCATTAAGTAGAACAGTCCCCCCCCCAAGACATTCAGTTAACTTATGGGGAATGGGGGGGCATGTATGTACTAGAGCCTATATTTGATCTCCAGCACAGCTTAAAAGAAAAAAGAAAAGTCAACAGTTTTGTACAATCAAGGGTAGAGGGTGTACAATGATTTGGCAGAGAAGACCCTTTTCACCATTAATTAAATACACATTTCTTTATATGCTGCAATCTTAAAATCACGCACATAAATAACGTTTTAAGTATTATTTTCTTCTCTACTAAATTACTCCCCCCCCCCATATACAGCCTCCAGGTCGCTTTGTACTTCTCATCTCCTTTGGAGTGCTAGCTTTGCGAATTTCCCCTGCTAAGCAAAGTGACAAAACAGCGTTGAGAAACGCAAAGGGGATTAAGAAGGTAAAACACAGAAACCGCAAACTTACTTTCCCACCAATGCGCACTTGTGCCTGCAGCTTGGCCAGCTTTTCCTGGTTCATGATCGTTTCTTTCATCTAGAAAGAGAGGAGGAAATCCTCAGCACAGAACGGTCGGGCTCACTCCAGCATTCCACGCTCGTTATTCCCCCAGACGCCCCGCAGGGGAACGTCCTCCGCAGGCCGAGGCCTGGATCCTCAAAAACCGCGAAGCCGGCTCCGGGCGAGCCCAAGCACTCTCGCCGCCCCCGGCCTCCCCCAGGCCCAGACTCGGGCTCAGCCCCGCATCCCCCCCGCCCGCGGCCCTGGCCGGCCTCGGCCTCGCCAGGGCCTGCCCGGCCCGGCCACTCTCCGCAGGCCTCGCGGTACCTGAGGCTCCTGTCCTCGGGTTCCGCCGAGAGGTGGAGGAAGAGACGGCGTCGCCTCGCCCCCGGGGCAGCCGCCCCTGGCTCGCCCTCGCCCCCGAGAGTCAGCCTGAGCGGGAGCGCCTGTCCGTCGCATCGCTTGCCTCTCCTCAGCCCTGTCCCTCCCTGTCTCGCTCCAGCCGGGCAGTGCCCGCCCCCGCTCCCGTCCTCCTCCCACGCCGGCGTCCACAGCCTTTTTGTACCTTGTCGGAGTGGAAATGGGGCCGCGCGGGGGACTAGGGTTCGCGCTCAGGGGTCTCGGGCGGACCAGCTGAGATAAGGCGCACACACGCGGGGACGCAAGATGGCAGCTAGAGGGTGGCCGGAAGTGACGCGTCGCCACTTCCTCCGGAACTCCGGGACGACTCGCCGCCTCTGCGCACGCGCGGCCGGGGCCTCCCCCCCGGCGGCGAGGGTGAGGGACCGGTGGGCGCCTTGTTCTCTCCTCGTGTCCCGCCCGCGGCCTGCCGGCAGCAGCTCCGGAGAGCTGTGGGCCGCGGACACTGTCCGTCGTCCTGGAAAAGGCTCCCCGCGGGACTGTGGCTAAGTCAGTCCGCCCTGTGTGTGCCCCCCTCCCGGACGTCCCGCTTCGTCCAGTAAGGCAGCAGTGTCTGCTCAATGCCGAGTATAAATGCAGAAAAACAAAGTCAGGGAAGCTAAGGTTGCTTCCCTAAATTAGGTGGCGTGAGTGACGTTGAAAATCGCGATTCAGGGTTTCTAGAAAGTGAGTTGAGAATCCATCCCGGTGCTCCACCCCGCAGAGTAATTCCACCCACTCAAGGTTGAAACAGAGTAACAGACTTCGAATCCCCTGAACCCTCTACACCACTGCGGTCGCGTGCCTACTTTACTCTCTAGCAGGCAAACAGTTGACTTCTGGATATCGAATCTGCGTGGATTTGACCACGAATCATTCACAATGTGGCAAGTTTTACCCTTAGTAATTGAGTCAGAGACGAATTGGGGCCTGGTGTGCTTGGAGAAAAAAGCGTGGCTGTGAGTTTGCCCAACTCCAGTACAAACTGTTTCATTGTGGTTGCGTTTTTTGTTGTGTGACATGGTGGTCGTTTTGAAAAGTGTAAGTAGTCCTGGCTAGCCAGAAACGGCTATCCTCCAACCTTGGGTGCCCCCTTCCCCCGCCCGTTACTGGGGTTACAGTCCTGCAGCGCCTTTCCCAGACAAGTTTTAAGACAACCTTAAAAACCACCCATGCCGGGGGGGGGGGGGTTTAAACTTAAGTGTGGTCAGCCTTCTTGCAGTCTTAGCTTTAGGATGCTTTTGAATATTCAAAAGTGAAAGTGTGATAGAAATTTAAGAGAAAATACAATTTATCCGGAAAACCAGTGCATACCCCTCTAGCTAAAATCAATTTTTTTCTTGGAAAACGTTTTTACAAGAAAGTTTACTACAACAGTAGTGTGTGGTTACGAAAATCAGGAGGGATAACTAGGTTGCTTTGTAAAGTGATTGTAACAGGTTTTTTTTCTTGAAACAATGTTTCTTTTATCCAACTGGTAAATTTATCCCAGAAATCAATGCTTGTTGTCTAGACTATGTAGTTACCCAGCCTAACCATAAAAATCTAAATAACTTCCTGGCGGTGGTGGCACATGCCTTTAATCCCAGCACTCAGGAGGCAGAGGCAGGTGAGTTCCAGGCCAGCCTGGTCTATAAAATGAGTTCTGGGGCAGTCACGACTGTTACGCAGAGAAGCCTTATTTTGAAAAAACAAAACAAGACAAAAAAATCCAAATAACTGAGGTGAGGCAACAATATTCCGTGCTACAGAAAATATATAAAATATATAACTGTGTTAGATGTGATTTGTAAAGTGTAGAACTAGTCCTTTTTAAAGAAATTCATATATATAAATAAATTATTTTATTCTTGGTATTATATTGAGGGCATGTGAAACTTCTTAACCATGGTGCTTTCCAAATTTTTACTTAAAACTCTACATATGTAACTGAAACCTGTCTCTTCTTATATACCAATGTTCAAGAAATGTGATTTATTTTATTTTCCCTTGTTCCTACATGGTACAATGCAATCTTGAAAAAATAACGACTTCCTAACTGGAAGTGAACAGTGTATATTTTGACTCTTGGTCTGTTTGTGCTTGTTTCATGGGCATAGGTACTTCACATTTTGCTATTATTTATATGCCAGTCTTTTCAAAAATAGTCAAAGACCTTGGGCGATGGTGGTGCACACCTTTAATCCCAGCATTTAGGAGGAGAGGCAGGCAGATCCCTGAGTTCACAACCAGCCTGTTTTACAGAGTTCCAGGACAGCTAAGTGTACATAAACACTGTCTCAAAAAAAAAACCAAAACAAACAAACAAACAAACAAAAAAACAAATCCTGAAGAGCTTTGTTGTTTTTCTCTTCCCCTAGAAGTTACCACTTTGTAGTCTTACCACACAGGACTGCCATTCCCCACATGCTCCCAATGTCTCCAGCAAATGTGAAAGGTTGACTCCCCATCATTTACTGCTCTCACAGAGCAGTGCAAGAAGTGCTTATTTAACACTGGAGCTGGTCTCTGTCAACAGAATGTGAGAGAAGGAAAACACATTTGCTCTCCTTGGCTTATAGTCTATGTCTAATCAAAACCCACAAGTTGTTCTCACCCCTGACCTGAACTTGAGTAAGTTGGCTTCAGCAAAAGCCAGATATTTACTTGACATTATGCTTAATTCTTTTTTTAAATAAAAAAATTGTGTGTATTGGTGCATCTCTCCCGAGCCATCCCACAGTCCAGGTTCCTGTGCTTTTAGATGCCTGGGAACCACAGTGGACACACCCTCCTCTAAAGTTCCCTACATCTTCCTTCCAGTGTCACTGTCTCTGCCTACTCAGTATCTATACATTAGCTCTCCATGCTCAGATACCTTTACCCACACGAGTTTACATCTCTTTGCACAGTAACCTTGTTTTTCTTGTAGTCCCCCCCCCTTCAAATTGTCTGTTTGGTGTCAGGTAGTGCTTTAGCTTGTATACACAGTATATATTCCATGGAGAATGCAGCCTGGGGGGGCACATGGGGCATTAGTGAGGTGACTGTTACAAACCTTGGTCAGATGCAGAAGACAGTCAGTGGTTTTGAAACATGGTTTGTTTTTTCCCCTCCTCATCCAGTTTGTTTTCCATGGGTAGAACCTACAAGGTCTAGGATGGTAGATCTGACTTAAATACATTTAAGAAAAACTGGCCCAGACCTCTTGACAGCAGTGTGAGTACTGGCTGGTCCAGCGACCTGACTCGGTATCTAGATAGGGAAAGGATGACCCAGGCAGGATGGGCATCGGCGGAGGTTTCTGATGGAGCAGAGGAAGATCTTTCTTCAGCCCTGGGTGACAGCTAGGCACAAATTGTCTGCTAAAACCGAGTATGGGGTTTAATGCAATGAACAAGTCACTCTGGGGCCCATGTTCACACAGGGGCAGGAAACACAAGAAGTCTGTTTCGCCCCTTAGATGGAGACACTGCACCCTACAAGATGACCTGTAACAATCGTTTCAGCTTAAACTACAGACCTGAGTTGCTGCTGAGGTTAGTAACACATAACCCCACTCTTCTCTTCCAGCCACACCCTAGCTCATTTACAACACCTTGGCAGATTCCTTACTGAGAGGCAGAAACATCTGCTGCCAAGAAGGCAGCTAGTGAAGGCTTTCGAGAGCGTGTGACCTAGTCTCCTAAGTCACAGCTGCCAGCTTCACACATCCTCCGTGGGTCCCACAGGCAAGGACAGCAAGGTTGTCTCCCTGCTTTGAAACTCTGGCGAAAATCCTTCAGGATTCCTATCATGTCCAAAAATCAAGGGGTGGAAATATGGGCGGCACCATTCACCACTGACAGAGCTTGCTCTGTCCTCCTACAATGTAATGCTCTCTTGGCTTAGAAGCCTTAGTTCCAGAAAGGGAGGCAGCTTCACCAGGAGATGTAATAGTGATCTCACTGAGCTGAAAATTCAACGGTCACCTGGGCATTCTGGGCTCCTCATGCCTCTGAGTCAATAACAGAAGAAGGAAATTGAGGGTTTTCTGTGGGGTACTGACTTACCAAAGAGAAGCTGGGCTACTACTCCACAGGGAGGAATGGAAGAGTGACTCTGGAATCCAGGAGGTCCCTAATGAAGGTTTAGGTCACTCCACTGGGTAAGGACCATACTAGCTGAAGTTGCCAAAGGCAACAGGTATATAGTAGAAAATTATTTGTAATTACCAGCTGTGACCACATGGCAAGTTATAGAAATGAGAATATTATATCATTATTATGGCTTTTTATGAAAAGGTGTGTATTTGTGTGTACATTACTGTGCAGGCTAGTTTTATGTCAACTTGACACAAGCTAAAGCCATCTGAGAGAAGGGAACCTCAATTAAGAAAATACCTCCATGGTGCTGGAGAGATGGCTCAGAGGTTAAGAGTACTGACTGCTCTTCCAGAGGTCCTGAGTTCAAATCCCAGCAACCACATGGTGGCTCACAACCATCTGTAATGAGATGTGGTGCCCTCTTCTGGCCTGCAGGCATACATGGAGGCAGAGTGTTGTATACATAATAAACAAGTAAAATCTTTAAAAAAAAAAAAAAAGAAAGAAAATGCCTCCATTAGATCGGCTGTAGGCAAGCCTGTAAAATAATTTCTTAATTAATGAATGATGGGATAGGGCCCAGCTCATTGTGGGTGGTGCCCCCCTGGGCTAGTGGTCCTGGGTTCTATAAGAAAGCAGACTGAGCAACTACGAGGAGCAAACCAGTAAGCAGCACCCTCCATGGCCTCTGCGTCAGCTCCTGCCTCCAGATTCCTGCCCTCACTGCTTTTGATGAAATAAACCCTTTCCTTCAAAGTTGCTTTTGGCCATGGTGTTTTCACCACAGCAATGGTAAACCTAACCAAGACCATTACTAACTGGTTCTTTTCCTGGAGGACCCTCATGAACACAGGGTACACCACAGTCTACCAAGAACTGCACAGTGGGAAAGAATCCCCTGGGATCTGAAGGACTGGAGGAATCAGCTAGTGAGAATAGAACCCTGCAGACCAACAGCAAGAGCGAAACGTAAGGCAACTTAGGAAGGCTAGAAGGGGCCTGGCCCTACCCCAACCTGATGTGTCAGATTGTTGGCTCCTCACGGGAGACCTTACCTATGAGGAGGAATGGGCTGAGGAGGGCTGAGGGGAGGTGAGAGGGTTGGGAGGAGGCAGGGGGGATGGGAGGAAGTGTGGGAGGGAGAACTGTGGTTAGAATGTAAAATGAAATAAAAAAATTAAAAAATGGAAAAAACACACAAATTTAAGTGGGGCAGACAATAAGATAAAATGGGGGGGAAAGGCTAGTGCAGTGAGTGCTTCCTGAAGTCCAGGACACCTATCGAGTTTTTGGTGTTCCCAGTTACAAGAAGCATTGTGCAGTGATACGATTATTCGAGTTTTTGGTGTTCCCAGTTACAAGAAGCATTGTGCAGTGATACGATTATACTTGAAGAGCTCTAGCAGGCCAGGGTGGCAGACATGGCACCAACAGGTTTTGCCCTCTCCTCCTTTCCCTCTCCCTTGCTGAAAACTCTTAGGTTACATTCCTAAAGCTAGCCCCCAGGGTCCAGCTCCTCATTTGGCCACAGATTCATTCCTCAGACTGAACACCAAATCCAACAATCGAAGTTCATTATTTGGCTAACTTGTCCAATCAGGACTATCCTACTCACCCTGGCTCAGAGTCCCCTTTCTCTCCTTAAAAACCCACTCCTGCAAAAACACCCGCTCCACTGCTGCTTGCTGTCTGCCTTTGTCCCATCCAGCGGCAGCTCCCCACCCAGCTTGCCCCTCGGGGTTAATCTCCTTTGTTCTGAGAATTTGGTGTTTGGGTATGTCCTGTACCCACCGAGGGTGAGGGCACCAACCCCTCCCTTACTATACTCTTTTCAGTTCTTAAGTCCACTTGTATGGAGGAAATGTTCTTTGGTTCTATTAAGTAACAAACATTGTAACATTTGGTAACATACTAAAGGGAGAGCTGATCTACACTTAACACTCTGTATCGTCATTACCTAGGTAGGATTAAACAATATTTTCCTTTCCTTTATGGTGATTGAAACTTATTTGCCGTTTTCAGTTGTGATGGTTTTCTTTTCAGGGGCTGGAAAAATGACTCGTTGGTTGCTGGTTGCGAGAATTTGTTGCTCTTACAGAGAATGGAAGTTTGAGTCCCGGCACCTGAATGGCAGCTCTGCCGGTAACTGCAGTTATATGCCCTCTTCTGAATTTCAGGACACCAGGCACGTGCATTTGGTGCACAGGCATACGTGCAGGCCAAACACCATACACATTTTTTTAAAACATGAGAGAAAAAACTTTTCAAAGTTATTTATCTGGGTGATATTAACTTGGTTGATTGAAGTACGCACAGTAGATCCTCTTAAGAGCTTTCAGCCCATGTGGCGGTTGATGCAGTTTAGCCGTGAACAAAATAACTACCTTAGAAACATAAAGTATGGTTCCCCTAGATGTATTAGCTATGCCATGCTAAAATTTTATAAGAATTTAGAATATAATATTACTAATAGGATAACAGGTATCAAAATATGAGCATTGGAAGAAACGGTGTCCTCATCTTCCCTGTGACTCAGGTAAAGCACACCCCACGTCCCACATCTGGTGGCAGCACGCTGCTCCCGACAGGCTGGCCCAGGTGTGACTGCTCAGGAGCAGTGGCCACACTCAGTTGTGGGACCAGATGCCAGACTCCCGTCTCCTATTAACCCAGATCAAAATAAAGACCTGCTCAAGCATCTCCTGCAGGGCAGGCGCTTCTGTCTTCTCAGCAGCTGGAGGAATCAGGCCATTTCAATGTGGCCTTTGCTCCTTTGTCTCTGTCTCAAGTTAGACTGCCTTAGTTTTTTCAACTGTCTTTTTAGGCTCTCCTCTTCTTGACCTCAGATTCTTTACAAGACCCTCAGCATCCATCTACCCTATGACCTGAAGCTCAGTAATTTTCTCAAGTTCCACCATCAGGTCTCTTCTGACTTTGGAATTTGTATCACATACACTCTAATCCCTCATTTCCAGGCCTGTCAGGTCTTCCTATTTGCTTCTTGTTTGACTATATTTACATACCCCAAATGCATGTATTTCCACCCAAATTCTTCTTAAATAATCTTCATCCTACCCACCAATGTGACCTAATTATATTCCCACAGCTGGCCTAGAGTCCCCGGGTTTAAGTCATTTCCTGCTCTGTCTCCCAAACGGCTGGGACTATGATCATGCACCACTACTCCCAACAATCCCCCTTTAAAATTGCTATATTAGTTTTTGTTGGTGTATGGTGTTTTGCTTGCATATATGTCTGTGTACCATGTGCATGCCTGGCACCCACAGAGGCTAGAAAAGGGCATTGTGAGCTATCCTATGGTGCTGGGAATGGAACCTTGGCCTTCATTATTATTATTTGGGTTTTCAAGACAAGGTTTTTCTGCATAACAGCTCTGAGTGTCCTGGAGCTCTCTTTGTAGACTAGGCTGGCCTGGAACTCACAGAGACATATGTCTGCCTCTGCCTCGTAAGTGCTGGGTTTAAAGGTGTGTGATACCACACCCAGCTTAGAACTTTTGTTCTTTAGAAGAGCAGCCAGTACTCTTAACCTCTGAGCCATCTCTTCAGTCCTGAGTAATCCCAATTTTGTTCATTGGTTACTGAGGCTGATTGAATGAAACACAACAGGCTGTGACTTCACCTCCTGTGGTGGTCAACAGTAAATAATCTAGAATCTTCTGGGAGGAGGCCTTCAGGCACACCTGTGAGGGATAGCTAGGTTAACTCCTGAGATATCTATGAGAGACAATCTTGATTGTCTTTTTGGTTTTTTTGGTGTTTTTGTTTTTGTTTTTTTGAGACAGGGGTTCTCTGTGAAATCCTGGCTGTCCTGGAACTCACTCTGTAGACAAGGCTAGACTTGAACTCAGAGATCCACCTGCCTCTGCCTTGATTGTCTTAATTGATGCGGAAAGACCCATTTGAACTGTGGGGAGAACCATTCTTTGGGTAGGGATCTTTTGCTGTATAAAGTGGAAAAAGCGAGCTGAAATATTATTCATTTGCTGGTGGTGGACTTAATGCTACTAGCTGTTAGTGGCTCCTTGCCTTGAATTCCCCACCATGATGGATTTCCCACACTACCTTCAACTGTGAGTTAAAACAAACCCACTCTTCCTGAAGCTGGTATTTTATTACTGCAATGGTAGAAGGAACATCTTCTCAATGGCTGATACGATTTAATAGAAAGATGGTTACTGTTAACTGACTATGCACCAAGAGAACAGAGTAACTCATCTTAGTTGTTTTAGCAGAAAAAAAATTGAGTAATGAAAATCACTTGGGTGACTTCCGTCTTCATTAAGGTTTCTCTTGCTGTCATGAAACACCATGACCAAAAGCAAGTTGGGGAGGAAAGGGTTGCTTTTGCTTACATTTCCCCATCACTGTTCATCATCAAAGGAAATTAAGGCGGGAGCCTGGAGGCAGGAGCTCATGCAGAGGCCATTGACTTGCTCAGTCTGCTTTCTTATAGAACCCAGGATCACCAGTCCATGGATGGCACCACCCACAACAGGCTGGGCACTCCCCCATGGATCTTTAATTAAAATGCCTCCATAGGCAAGCCTGTAAGGCATTTTCTTTTCTTTTCTTTTTTTAACGGTATGCCTGTCTGTATGAGGGTATCATACTTGTAGCTACAGACAATTGTGAGCTGCCATGTGGGTGCTGGGAATTGAACCCGGGTCCTCTGGAAGAGCAGTCTGTGCTCTTAACCTCTGAGCCATCTCTCCAGTCCCATAAGGCATTTTCTTAATTGAGAGTACTTTTTCTCAGATGACTATAGCTTGTGTTAAGCTAACATAAAACCAGCCAGCACAACTACAGTCCACAAAAACCTATTGTGGATTTTATAAGTAAATAGAGGAGAGGAGTTGGAAGGCTCCAAACACAAAGTAATAAGGAAATGGACATGGTAATTAGCCTGTTTTGATAAGTACACATTGTATACAAGTATTGAAAATCAGTGTACCCGGGCTGGGTCAGTGGCTCAGCAGTTAAGAGTACTGGCTGCTCTTCCAGAGGACCTGGGATTCTATCCCTAGCACCCACAGGTGACTCACAACAGTCCATAACTCCAGCTCCATAGGGATCATCTGCCCTCTTGTGGTCTCCATTGGTACTGCATGCACGTGATGTTCAGACAGACCTTGAGGCAGCATACCCATACACACGAAATAATACAATAATCTTAAAAAAGAAAATTATTGTATCTCACAGAGATATAGAACTCTGTTAGCCAAAACATTTTAGAATATGTGATGCACACTTTCAATACTAGCACTTGGGAGGTAGAGGCAAGTGAATCTCTGTCAGTTTGAAGTCAACCTGGTCTATGTAGAGTATTCTAGGCCAGTCAGGGCTACATAGTACGTCCTTGTTGGGGGAATATTATTTTAAGGTCTGTGACTTTTGTTTATGTTGCATTTGTTTAACTCTGTGAAGCTGTGATTCTTTGCCTGTCTAAAACACCTGATGGTTTAATAAAGAGCTGAACAGCCAGTAGTGAGGCAGGAGCAAGGATCAGCGGGACTGGCAGGCAGGGAGTCTAAATGGAAGGAGAAGCGAAGAGGAAGGAGAAAAGAGAGACCAAGGAAAGAAGGGCGTCAGGAGCCAGCTAGCCGTGGAGTAGGAGTGAAAGTAAGAGATACAGAAGTAAGAAAAGGAAAAAAGTCCAGAGACAAAAGGTAGTAGGGGTAATTTAAGATAAGAAAAGCAGGCAAGAAACAAGCCAAGCTAAGGGCAGGCATTAATAACTAAGAATAAGCCTCTGTGTGTGATTTATTTGGGAGCTGGGTTGTGGGCCCTTCAAAAAAGTAAAAGGAGTAAAATATTACACTACACGAACTTGTCTTTAAAAAAGCTTTTTAAATGTTTAAGGAGACAGTAGTATAATTACTCTAATTTTATCACTTACTATATATACATATCAAATCATCACACCGTACTCCATATATGTATGGTTAGAATTCTCATGTTAAAGGGAAGTTGAATCAGTAACTCACTGTTCCATATTATTGAGTTGTGGTTATTAAGTGTGACAACCTCATAAGGGGCCCTAAGCAGCTTTTGTTGCTAGTGAATGCTAAATCTGGCAAATCCCAGTACCTATCAGTCAACATAATATAGTTAAACTACTTAGTAATAAGATTTTCTAAATAGGTAGGGGCAATGGTGACACATACCTTTAATCCCAGCATTCAGAAGGCAGAGGCAGGAGAATCTCTGTGAGTTTGAGGCCAGCCTAGTATATAGAGTGAGTTCCAGGGCAGACTACAAAGCTACACAGAGAAGCCCTATATCAACAACACCACTAGAAGTCTTATCCTTTAGGTGGGCAGTGATAACACACACCTTTAATCTCAGTACCCGGGAGGCAGGTGAATCTCTGTGAATTTGAAGCCAGCCTGGTATACACGGCTAATTTCAAGACAGCCATGGCTTACACAGAGAAACCCTGTTTTGAAAAAAACAAAAAGTTTCTAAATAAGTTCCATTTTCTGTTTATCTGACAAAATTAGCAGTAGATCTCTTTCCTTGAAGTTGGAGTCAAACTTCCCAAATAACATATTCATGCTGGCTTCCAGAGTGCGTCACTTTAATGACAAGTGACCTGATAAATAACACCACAGACTTAAGCATATCTCAGTGTCTATGATAGTGTGATACATACTGGCAAATAAACAGTAACTCACAGTCTAGTCAAGAATATGAAACCAAAAACACTGGCACGGGATTAGTGCCTGTGGTCAGAACGGTGCCCAGCCTGGGACACCACCACCACTGGCACCAAGGGATTGCAGAACGAGAGAGTGAATCTGTTGCCAGCAGACAATCAAGAAGGTAGCTTGGTAAAACAGCAAGAAAGGGGATGAGAGGGAAAGAAAACGATGTGACTACTCCATTCTTAAACTTCAACAGAGTCAGTCACCTGGCAATTGAACAAGCACTTCGCTGTCAAACACTTAAATAGCTCTAATCATAACTTCTCGGAACGCAGCCCTGAGCAGCCTCTCGAGAAGAAATCCTCCAGCCACATCCGTCTATCCACCTAGCTCTGATACTGAGCGTTCACACACTCTGTGGATCGCCTGTGTCAATGCTGTCCACACGGCACTTTAAAAAGCCCATCAAGAAGATTTAAGCACTAATAAGGTTTCCACTAGGTAGGGATGCAGTATGGAGAATCATAGATGATGGCAATGTCCACAGTGTTTTCCCACCCTCATCCCCAGAATCAATTTCTTGGGAGGAAAGTACTGCCCCTGTGAAGAGCACATGTCCTGATAGCTCTTGTGGAGGGGCTCCCTTAACTGGCTCCAAACAGCCAGTCTCTATTTCACACCACAGACTCTCTAGTATTTGGAACTAACTACAGCCCTTCAATTACTAGTACCCTCCCCCAATCCTCCCAACAGATTCCTGGAACTGGAACTCCTGTGACTCAATCCCCACCTTAGTCCTGATGTGGAAGGCACTATTTTGGTCCCCAGGCTTGTCTTAGTTACTTTCCAATTGCTGTGAAAGGCAACTTATAAAAGAGTTTATTAGGAGCCGAACATTTAATCCCAGCACTGGGGAGGCAGAGGCAGACAGATCTCTGTGAGTTCGAGGCCAGTCTGGTCTACAAGAGCTAGTTCCAGGATAGCCACAGAGAAACCCTGTCTCAAAAACAAAAACAAAAACAAAAACAAAAAACAAAAAACAAAAAAAAACCAACAGAAAACAAACAAAAAGTTTATTAGGGGTTACAATTCCAGGAGTGAGTCCATGACTATCATGGCAGAAAGCATGGCAGCAGGTACATAAAGTGCCAGAGTAATAGCTGGGAGCTTACACCTGATCTAAAAATAGGAGGGGGGCCGGGCTATGCCATGGGGATGGTTGAGCACACCCTTAGTGACACTCCTCCTCCAAAAGACCACAACTCTTAATCTTTCCCAAATATTTCACAATCTGGGGACCCAGCTTTCAAATACATGAACCTATGGGGGTCATTCTCATTCAAACTCTATAAAATGGTTACAATTTTTGCATTCCTAAAATTTGTTGTTGAAATGAGGCTCCTGCACATGAATATATAATTGTCTGACACTTAGAAAAGAAAGGATCTCTCTTCTCCTGTCTTGTAGATGTATCTAGTGACACAGTCCAAGACAGCCCTGAAGGAGACTGCCTGACTGACTTTCTGAAGCCACCAAGCGCTGAGCTGAACTCCCTGAGCCTTTCTTCACGCGCCCAGCTCTGAGACTGGAACCCTCTTCTGGCCCCGTTGTTTCCTGAGGCCCAGATGAGATTTGTAGTCACACCATTCCCACTTCATTCCGCTAGCTTCTCACTGCCTTTCCCACATGTTGAGATATTTGACAGTTCCGACTCTATCATCCAATGTTGTCGTTCCTTTATTTTTTCTTTTCTAAAGAAATCTTCATGCAGGCTGGAGAGATGGCTCCTCGATTAAGAGCACTGGCTGCCCTTCCAGAGCCTGAGTTCAGTTCCAAGCAACCATCCAGTGACTCACAATTATCGGTAATGAGATCTGGTGCCCTCTTCTGATGTTCAGGCATACTTGCATAAAAAATAAATAAGTAAATTGTAAAAAAAGAAGTCTTTAGGCTTGTCAGAGAAGAAACAAAATGTTTGAGGAAAAAGAAGTAGAATAATCAGTTCCTAGCGTGGGCATATGCTGAGATGCCATGAACAAGGCTTAGTGTGTCTAAGCTTGGCTTAAAAGGCAGCATCATAATCTCCATGTCTCTCCACTTCAGGCAGAGAGGGGTTGGAGACAGGCTCTCTCAGGACTACCTTCACTGAAGTTTCAAAATAAATGTGCTTGCCTTCTGTGGTTTAATCGTCCAATATGTGTCAGTGTGCGTCACACTACAAACATTGCTGGAGGGCTGGAGAGATGGCTCAGAAGTTAAGAGTGTTGACTACTCTGTCAGAGGTCCTGAGTTCAATTCCCAGCAACCACATGGTGGCTCACAGCCATCTATAATGAGTTCTGGTATGCAGACAGACATTGAGGCAGGATGTTGTATTCATAATAAAGAATAAATATATCTTAAAAAACATTGCTGGAGCAAAAGAATGATGAAAATTCAAAGCCTGCCCTATTTCAGGTCCTTAACACCTGAGTCATGGGTTATTTTCACCACCTTAACAACGGAGTGAACCAACAGCACACTTTTGGAAAGAAAGACTTTACTTCAATGCTGCATGGGTTTTGGGATGAGCTGTCTATTCACCAATGGCAGGTTAAAGAGATAATATCCCAAAATCTACCTTAGTGAACCAATGAGTTTAAATGACAACTTTCAGGAGCATAGGTAATTTATAAGCAGCTACTCCCCAGAAGAAGAGTCTCCCTCCCAGCAATGCTAACCATACATTTATTCTCAGAGAGGGAGGGAACTTGCTGTGGAATATTAATTTAGGATGTGTTGCATTTGTCTATGCTGTGGAACATTTGTTTAATGATGCAAAGGTGTACTGTATTCTTTTAGGTGGTATGTGTTTAACTGTGAAGCTGTGTTACTGTGCCTGTCTAAAACACCTGATTGGTCTAACAAAGAGCTGAATGGCAAATAGCCAGGCAGGAGGAAGGAGAGGCGGGGCTGGCAGACAGAGAATAAATAGGAGGAGAAATCTGGGGAGAGAAGATTGGAAGAAAAGAAGAAGGGGAGGAGCACGCTGGGGGCCAGCCACCCAGCTACACAGCCATGGAATAAGAAGAAAGGCGAATAGAATAGAGAAAGATAAAAGCGCAGAGGCAAAAGGTAGTCAGGATAATTTAAGCTAAGAAAAGCTGGCTAGAAATAAACCAGCTAAGGCCAGGCGTTCATAAGTAAGAATAAGCCTCTATTGGGGAATATTAAGCTACACAGGATAGGTTGTCATATTATATTTATTTAGGGAGAAGCCACTTACATAAGAAGCTGAGAACCAAAGGTCTGCTTGTTGTTCTCCGAGACCCAACCAGAACCCCAAGAGAAAGTGCATCTTCCCTGCACAGCCTTTTATTCCCCATATCCGCATCCACCTGTAGCCACGCCCAAAGAGGGCGTGGTCAGTGGCACAGGTACCTAAGATCTCTCCCTACAAGCCTCCAGTGTTTTTATCTGGGAGTCAGGTAGCAGGCCCCCAAAAGAGCAAAAAAATAGTAAGAGTGAAAAAACAACCAACTATAGGGACTAACGAGCTTCGTGGCCTCCCCTTCTGTGAGGGGGTGTTAGCCAGCCCAATCTTATGAGAAATCACAGCTGCTTTGCTTTTGAGACATCCATATCATGCTCGGAAGACAGTTCCACAGCCCTGCTGGCGCTGTCTCTGATGAGGGTCAAAGGGGAGTGTGGACTTGAGTTATTTAGACATCTGGCCTAATCCTTCATTCAGTGAGAAAGACCCAGCTCATGAGAGTTAATTCATGCTACTTGGAGGCCAAAGCAGTTATAAAGCTACTTTGGAATGTCCTCAACTATGCCTGAGAGACCTGCTTTTGACAGATGTGCTCATGTAGTCCAGTCAATTGGCATATGGAATTTTTATGTACAAGTGCCTGCACAAGTTTCAACATGTAACTTTTATTAGTGCTCCCACTAGCATGGGGAGACAGATGGCATACACATTACACTCAGAAGTACGCTTTGCAACTGGCCTCCCCGACCTGACTGCTGTGTGCTCGTTGTGCATGTGTGCGCATGCGTGTGTGTGTGTGTGTGTGTGTGTGTGTGTGTACACATGTGAGAGAGAGAGAGAGAGAGAGAGAGAGAGAGAGAGAGAGAGAGAGAGAGAGAGGAGAGAGTCACAGACACCAGTCCACTCACAGGCACGAGGTGCCCAAAGCCCACCCTCCCACCTGGGCTGGCCAGGGTCCACTGTGGAGCCTTCCCGTCCCTGCTGAGATCTCCTTCTCTGCTTCCTTGCTCTTTCTTTCCCCTGGCTTTTCATCTCTTGCATCTGGGCCAAGGCGAGGTAGGTTTGGACCCACACAAGCGTGTCTAACCCTCTACTTGTGAGCCTCATGCAGCCAAAGATAGCTCCCAGGGGGGCCCAACACAAAAGGGTAGGTTTACTCAGAGCATTGTGGCACTAGGCGTGTGATTTTCCTTCTTATGACTTCACTGTAAGGTTCCCAGTCATGAACTTTGTAAATGACAACAATCCTGTTGCTTCTCGGAAAGGTTGGGCACACTAGCAGGAGCTATGCAGGGGAAGAACACTTCCAAAAGGTGTTCTCTTCATCTCTCTAGCTCTCTCTTGCTCTCTCTCTCTCCCTGTCCCTCTCCTTCTCACAGTCTGAGTTGGCACTGTCTTTCCTTGTTCTTGGACTGTGCTACAGTCTGAACATGCTTGGTCCCTCCCTAACTCATGTTGGAATTTAATCCCCATTGTAGATACAGAGAGAGTCAGTATGGTGTTAGAGGCTGCCCCTTTGAGAGGAGGGCGTAGATTCGGAAGGTCAGCAGATGGGGCCTCTGCCATTGAATGTTGATGGTGTTGTAAGAACAAAGAACGACACAAAGACACCAGAAAGAATAGTTACTAGAAGGACGGGCTTAGATGGTTTAGAAGACTAAGTTGAGGAACTGAGGTTTGATAAAATTATTTTGAAGTTAATTTGGAAGAAGGAATATTAGTAGTCTAAATATTTGGAAAAATATTTATTTTATGAGACAGAGTTTCTCTGTGTAGCCCTGGCTGTCCTGGAACTCACTCTGTAGACCAGGCTGCCCTCAAACTCAGAAATCCATCTGCTTCTGCCTTTCAAGTGCTGGGATTAAAGGCATGTGCCACCACCTCCTAAAAAACATTTGAAAACCCTTCTTTTGGGGGGGTTCAAGGAAAATCTTAATAAAGGAGGGTTGAATTAAATCTAAGAAGTGTCAAAACAAGTTAAATTACAGAAATTAACCCAGTGTTAGATAGGTTAAATGGAAAGGCATGGCTTCTAGAAAAAAACTAAGGTGAATGAGAGGACTGAACATATAATTAAGGTAACACTTTACATTTGGAGGAAGCAGGTCTCATTCAGAAAATGGCATTGACGGACATGGGAAGGAGACAGCAGGTACCTGGGGCTTGCTGGCCAGACAATTTAGCCTTAGATTCAGTGAGAGACCCCGCCTCAAAGAAATGATTAAAGAAAGATATATTCCTGAAGGGGTACCTGCATACACACCTGCGCAAAAGCCAATCTAACACACACAAACCCCAAAAATAAGTAAGTGGGTTTTAGAACAACTACCACCTAATTGAAGGAGAAAACTGACTACCTGTAAAGTCTAGCGTGGGGAGGTGTGTCTCATGACACAGAAGAACAAGATCATCGCTTTGACCAAATAAAACTAAAACTCCTGTGTTACACAAAAAAGGAAACAAAAAAATTGGGACAAAGTACTGATATTTATACAACACATTCCGGCAGAGAAATCTGCCTCCATCAAAAGACAGTAGGTTAAGAATGTGAGTAGACAATTTACAAAGAAAAAAAATTAAAATACAGATGTATTCAAAATCAACATCAGTTAAGGAATTATTAATTATTGTTAATAATTCATTATCATTAGTTAATTAAAACTTGATTTTTATTTTTCCTATCACTACAGAAATACTTTTTTTTTCTTTGGTTTTTTCGAGACAGGGCTTCTCTGTATTGTTTTGGAAGCTGTCCTGGAACTCACTCGGTAGACCAGGCTGGTCTCTAACAAACAGAGATCCACCTGCCTCTGCCTCCCCAGTGCTGGGATTAGGAGGCCTGTGCCATCACGGCTCGGCCCCAGAAATACTTTGACAGGACACAGTGTACAACACTGCCAAGGATGTAGAAGACCATGGACTATGAGGCAGAGGTAGATAGGTTGGGACAGAGTCCATTGCTCCTGAAGCTGTTGGATGTCTGTCAGTTTTGGTCATTCCCGCTGGAATTCTCGACAGCATAGGAAGACAGCAGGAAAGCAAGGGAGAAAGATTTGGGAAGATGCTGAGAACACATGTAGTTTCTGATGCCATGCATCTAGCTTCCACTTTCTAATTTCTCCTCATTTATGCTTTTGATATTTGAGTACCCCAAGAATCAGCTCTAAGAACTCAGTGCCCATTCACTCTGTTTTGTTTTAAAAATCATTTTCACTTTTAGTGTTTAGAGCAGGAAACAGTGTAGTCACTTAAATGAGGTGAGCATCTACATATACAATGTGGTTGGCAAAGACTCCTGCTGGTGGCCCGGCCGGGTAGCGGGAGTGCATGGGTCTCAGTTCATTAGCTATGGGGGTTTGGAAAGTTGTTTAATAGTTTTCAGTTTGTTTGCTATACATCTGTATTACTGTAACTAGGCGCAATCACCTTTTGTGTGATTGTGGGGATTAAGTAAAACCGTGTACATTAGGTCCCGAGACTTGATACACACTCCCTAAAAGCAGGCTTCCTTCCTTCTAGGGAGAACTAGCGTGTGGTAAGTTATCTCACCCTCTGTATCTCCGTATCACTGTGTTTCCCAGCAAGCAGGTCCTGGGTCTCATAATCCAAAGCCTTGATAATCTCTGATGAAGGGTTCTTGGCAATAATAATAATAATTTTCATTTTTTAATGAGCTGTTTCCTATTTTTGTGTGTCTCCAGGCTGAGAGAGAAGCTCTGGCTTCTGCTGGAACACTGATGTCTAATCCAGAATGGCCCCTGTCCAGCTCCCCAGCTGTGTAGGATAATGTGTTATGGCTGCATAAAAATGGAAGAGTATGTGGCCCCATCTGGTGAGGAAACTGCGAACCAAAGATGGGCAAACAGAAGCCAGCAAGACGCTGGTCTAAAGGGCTACTAAATGTGCATGGCTGTCAGAATTTGGAGAT